ACAAACTCAAGCTCCTCCTAGCACCTGACATGGGTCCTAGGGCTCAGGAGTTCACCACGATGCAGGAAAGAGTTTGGCAGCTTCTCTGAGCCATGTGAACAAGCCGGGCTGGCTGCTTCATAAGCTTCCTTGCATTTCTGCTTTCAGCCAGGCCGGCAGTCTCCTGTAAGCTGACTCTGCAAGGCCTCCAGACCCTCCTCTTTCTGAGCACTCCTTTTCCACCTGCATAGCTCTTACCCGGAATGAGGTCGTCCTTGGACTGTGGCGACTGAACGAGCTGAGAGTAGAGCGGAAAGCAACAGAGGAGTCTTCAGGTTCTTCCGAGGCAGGGACGGATCTTGCAGTTTCTTGAGACCTTGGGGGATTGCTTGCAGTATCCTAGGGAAAAAAACCCCACACACCTGACATACAAGTCAAGAAAAGGCAGAGAGGGGTCGGGCCCAGTGACCCAGGCTACAAGAACAAAGCAACAATAAATGGAGCTTATGAAAACCATAGGAAGCTCCTAACTGTGCAGGCCTGCATAGGGCAAACCCCAAACTCTGTACTTGAGGGTGAGGCACCATCCTATTCTCCTTCCAGTTCTGGAGAGCAGCAGAAGGAGCTAGGGAAACAAGAGAGGGAAGAGATGTATACGCACTCTCTCACACACAAAACCCCACACCCCTTACCCTTTCCTCTGCCTGAGTGCAGTACCATAAGCCACGAGTTCAGATATAACAACTTAGGTCCTCCCAAAAACATAAGACTATAAAAACTCATTTGGGGTTCCCTCCATTTTGGCCTTCTGGAATCAAAGCCTCTGAGCCATGCTTTCACCTTTTTTTTTTTTTTTTGCTTCAGCCACAAAAGCCAGAAGCCAGCCCCTTTAGAAAGTAAAGCTGCGATTCTGATGAATTCACCTGACTCCAGGAGCTGGGGATTTCAAGGTAACCTCCCTCTACTGTGCAACTCCCAATACATCCTTAAAAGCTGATGATGGCGCAGTGCTGCTCACCGGCTGGCTAGGAGGAGATGTCCCTGGAGAGATCAGTGCCTTTACTACGCTGCGTCCTCCTCTGGGGACACCCTTTATCTCAAGGTGGACGTGGCCTTTCTGCTTCTGTGCGGATGCTTGGGGCTGTTCTGCTAGCTCTGCTCGATGCTCCTCTTCATGCGAAGCTGGCTGCTGATGCTGTTCCTTTTCTACAGCCTCCTGCTCTGGAGTTGACTCCGGATGTTGATCCACTCTTGGATCCATCTGCTCCTTAGGAAACTCGCTGGCCAGGACCTTCACTTGGGCTGACCGCTGCCGTGGTGCTGGCTCTGGGGGACCTGCTTGTGCCTCTGGTTCCTTCTCCTCTTTCACATTTTTTGAGATGTTTGTCACCTGCTGCCTTTGCCGCCTCACCTCCTCTGTCTTCAGCACCTCCGAGAGCTTCTGCTCATCTTCCTCCGCGGTCGCTGCCGCTGGTGGTTCTGCCTCCTTGGGCCTGGGAGCAGAGAGAAGGCAAAGACACACTCAGACACCAGAGGGCACCAGCAGGCTGATTTTTATACAGGAGCTTACTTTAGCCCTAACGGAAAGGTGTCAGATTAACAATCCCATTTATCTCCAGGCTAGGCCTGGTCCACCCTGCAAACCCAGACTGACTTTCACACTTGCCCTGTGCTCTATGGACAGTTTTGTCAGGCACAGATTAGGTGCTTGTTTGGGTAACACCTACTCATCTTTGGCCATAGCCCTGATCAGCCTCTGTCCCTTGGTCCTGCAGGGATGGGAGCCAGCTTGTACATGTGCGCATACAAAACTTGTGCCAATGGATTCGAATGGAAGTCTATGGGGTTGAGATTCTTGAATCAGCTTGGGGAACTGGGATGTATAATTTCAACAGAATGAGTGTCTAGCTTCCCTGAACTGCTCTCAAAGTCTTGGCCTTTAGCATTATAATACAAACAGTAATTCATCATTTATCAATTTATCATTCCATAGCCTCTTCCAGCCAAGGATCTCCACACAATTTGCACATATCATATTGCTATCCCGTGTTACACAAGAGAACAAATTGAGCCACAGAAAGGCTCAGCAAAATCCAGTCACATTGCGGATCAGTAGCAGTTAAAACCCCAAAGTCCTGCCTCTTAGCTTCCTGCTCTAATCATGCAATCTCTCCATTGCAGAACCTCAAACTGACCCCAGGTTCCCAATCCTCTATTCTAACACCTTCCCCTTGGACCAGATCCAAACCCCATTTCTGCCAATGGAAAGGCTCACACTGATTTCAGTTAGCTTTGGTCAGGCCCTAGCAAAACAAAAATACCAGCCATGTGGATGTGCAGCATCCTGGGCAGTGTTGGACCAGGGTCACAGCCTTTCTCCACACACCTGTCTGGCACTGGGTGGCTAGCATTTGGTGAAGGGGGCAGGCCCTCTTCCTCTGCTGATGTGGAGGACTTCTGACTTCGGAGCCTTCGCCGGCGCTCTCGTTCTAGTTCCTCTTCATCCTCCAGAGTCCTCTGCCTCGCCAGGCTGTTTGGAAGTGAGACAAGAATATTCCAGTTATTGGACCACTGTGGGCATGTCTACATGTGCATTTACGATGGCTTAAATTTACTGCACAGTAAACAGGAATAGGCCAGCATCTATATGTGCAGGTGTTAAGGTGCATTAATGCTGTGTATGCACAGACTTGGGACTAAAGTTAGTCCCAAGTCAGTCCACACACACAGTGTTACTGTGTAGTAAGGCATCTACATGTGCATTACTATGCAGCAACTAATTGGGCGTAAATTTGATACATGCATGATGCAGGTATCAAATTTATGCTCAAGTCGGCATAAGTTGCCATATTTACTGTGCAGTACAAGTATACATGTGTAGATGCGTGCCCGTACTGTGCAGTAATTTTTGTTACTGTGCAGTAAATGTGCACATGTAGATGAGCCTAGTATGCACAAAATGTGCGTCTCAGATTGCAGAGAGAATCAGACCAGATCCCCCACCCGATCAGGAAGGACTTCTCTCTCCTGGGGGCATCATGCCACTGACCAGATGCCTAGTACCTATGAGGCCCATTCAGACACCGGCTGAGAAACAATGCAACCACAGATCTACTAGGCTAGGGACAGACATTACACTTAAAACGGTTTAAGTGATCAGAAACTGGTTTAAACCTGTAACAGAACAGAAGTTCAGTGCACATAAACCAGTTTGAAAATGTCTGAAACTGGTTTGAGATAAACCTGGTTGAATGTAGTATCAGACTTAACTGATTTGGATCCAACCGGTGGCCCAGACCCCTTGCTGGTTTAACTTAAACCAGGCTCCCCCAGCATCATGGCATGCTCTCTGGGCTGGCCGGGCTCTCTGCTCCATAGCAGAGCTGGCTCCTCCTCTCTGCTCCCTGGCTTCAGCTCCGCAGAGACTGCAGGCATCTGCCTGGCTTCCCTCTGCTCCCCTGCTAATCAGGGATTTCTCCCCCACCTTACACAGACATCTCTTAGCATTAGCTAGCAGACCTCATGCTGGCTACAGTCCATGCTGTGGCAGACGGGGCCAAAGGATAATCAGCAGGTAGCTGGTAATGTCTCTCTGTTTTTTTCTTAATGGGATGATAAACACCATGTTATCAATTCCCTGCTGGGCTAGTCAGAAGGTGGGGGGACCCCTCCCTAATCAGAACATCATGCCTCAGCTCAGCACTATGAAAGGGAAGGGAGGACTGCTCTAGCACCCCCCCCCCCCCCGGCCTCCAGCCCCCCCCCCGGCTTCTAGCCTGAGCTACTGCAGGCATGTGCCTGCATTTCTGGGAAGTCTGAGCAGTTACAAACAGGTTTAACCTAGCCAGGTTAGGCTAACCTGAAAAGATTGAATGAATTCAGGCTCAGGCTTTTTGAATGCCTGTCCCTAGCCTCGCTGAGGGGAAAGAGGATGGAGAAAAAGGAGCAGAAACACCAGAGTTATCTACACGTGCTTATGAACTCAAATGAATGCAATGCCAAGTATTTCCTACCTTTTGAGTGTTTGACTTGGCAACGTGACCATTTTCTTAATATAGGAAATTACGTTTTAAAATGCATACTTTTATTTAACCAAAAAGAAGATGCCACGCTTGGGCCATCAGAAGGGTAGGGACCTATAGATCTATCAAACAGATCTCAGCCATTTAAAGAAGCAGCTAGTAGCCATGGTAGGTTGCCACTTTCAGTGTGACTCCGCACTGGGGGGAGAGGGTTTTTTGCTAGTGGGTTTCACATCTATTTGCTGAAAGCAGAGTAATGGTGAGACTCAGATTTTCAGTCCATTCCAGGCTCTGGAGAGAGGCAGCTATAGTGGGCAGAGACTTTTATTTGGCTCCTTCTATGTGTCTTTGCAACCTGTCTCTCTACCCCATCCCTGTGCCATGTTGGGTTCCTGCTTCCCCACTTCTGTACTCAGCAGAGGAAGCCTTGTGAGCAAAGGAGAGGAAAAAAATCTCTATTCTGAGTTCCTGGAAGCCAGAAAGAGCAATTGCAAGAGTCCAGCTTAGACTCTGCAGTCCTAGGTTGATGCATGCTCGGTTGCTCGGTGAGGATGGAGCAGTCTTCTTGCTGAGAGAATTTCTGGAGAATAATGCTGCAGTCACTAACCTCCGAGCATGTGAGAACCATGAATTTTTAGAGACTAAAAACCATGTGGATTTTCACAGGAAGAGTAAACAGCAAATCTAGACATGGAAGAAACTCCTGCCATCTTCAAAATAAAGGGAAGATTACAGTTTCTTCATGAAAGAGTTGAAAGAGTTTCCCCCGTAACCTGTTTTCTCTCATCTCATTCTCAGAAATGGCTGAACTGTTTTTTCTGAAGTCTTCAAAAGTCAAAATTCACACAGAGGCAGACCCTCACTATGAAACTACGTGCTACAAATGGCTGAAGTCTGGCAAAGTTATGAGGATCAAATACCCAAGTTTAATGGAAAAAGTCAAGCAAAATTAATGGTAGGCCTCACTAGCTGGTCTACACAGAATTTGAGATGAATTTAAAAATTCCTTTTCCCTTACATACACAAGTCTTGACAGCCAAAGACATTTCATTCTGGCTGAAAAACATACTGGTAAAAACTTCCTATTTTAAAAATAAACTATATGGGGGTTTTTTCTGTTAAAAATGTTTCACACTAAAAGGTTTTGTTTTAAAACCAAAATATTTTTTGATTTTATATTTCATTAACTTTGGAATTTTTCCACAAGAACTAATTGGTATTTTTCAACCACCTCTTCCTCCATACATTCCCACTTGGTGGCAAATAATGCCTTATATAGGTAGAATTTAAAGATTTTTTTTTAAAGATGAGTTGAGATTTCACAACGGGCTGTAATTTGTTTTTTGTTCACTAAACTCAGGACTTTGCTAGACATAAGATATATTGTATCAGTATAAGCTAAAGTTAAATTCAGACTGATGCACCTATACTGATTGTACCTCCCCATCTGCAGGTTACAGAGGTGGGGGGATGAGAATAGGATGGGGTTCAATATGGACAAGTGCAGGATATTGTACCTGGGAAGGAAGAACCAGCAGCATACCTACAGGCTGGGGGACTCCCTTCTTGTCAGTGCAGAGGCAGAAAAGGATCTTGGAGTCATTATTGATGCCAAAATGAACATGGGCCGACAGCGTGGGGACGCGGTCAGGAAGGCCAACCGCCCCTTGTCATGCATCCACAGATACATCACGAGCAGGTCCAAGGAGGTGATCCTCCCCTTCTATGCAGCACTGGTCAGGCCGCAGTTGGAGTACTGCGTCCAGTTCTGGGCGCCGCACTTCAGGAGGGATGTGGACAATGTGGAGAGGGTCCAGAGGAGGGCCAGTCGCATGATCAGGGGCAGCAGGGCAGGCCCTATGAGGTGAGGCTATAGGACCTGAACCTGTTCAGCCTCCACAAGAGAAGGCTGAGAGGGGATAGGGTGGCCCCCTACAACCTGGCCAAGGGGAACCAGCAGGCACTGGGGGAGTCCCTGTTCCCCCGAGCCCTACCAGGAGTAGCAAGGAAAAACAGCAATAAGTTGAGTGAGAGTAGATTCAGGCATCAGGAGGCGCTACTTCACAGTCAGGGCGGCTAGGATCTGGAACCAACTTCCGAGGGAAGAGGTGCTCGCCCGTACCCTGGGGGGTCTTTAAAAGGAGGCTAGACAATCACTTAGCCGGGGACATCTGACCCCAGCGTCCTTTCCTGCCCATGGCAGGAGGTCGGACTTGATGATCTGCTCAGGTCCCTTCTGACCCTACTAACTATGAAACTATGCACGCTCTTATTCCAGTATGAGTGGTTTTTTTAGTTTAGCTTAAATACTTCTTAAAGCAACAGTAACTAACTAAATGGTGGGGGAAGGAAAAGGGGCAAAACAAAATTAAAAAAACGCAGCCCTACTAACACATTGCACTGATGCTGGAGAAAGGGTTTCTACAAAAGAAGTTATACTGGTATAACTCATAAATCTGTCCATGGAAGACAAGCTTGCAGACTATCAACACCCACTTGCCAGAGTTACATTTTTGCTGATAGTAAATTTCCTCTTTTGGAGAGGAGCTCAAATTTAATTGGATAGGCCACATCTTGACTCACTGGGAGAGGCACACACCACCTCACCTGCCATTCATAATTATTTGTAACTTCCACAGAAACATTAAACATTGCTTATTTCTCATGTGGGAAATTGATATTGGAGAAGTCAGAGAATATTTTTTGCTGTTTAGTGCAGTGGAGATGCTGAAACACCAGCCAGTTCTCCCCAAACCACTAGTGAGCATTTCTCAGTCCAACAGCTGGAAAGCCACTGGCTCTCCAAGTTCTTGTTCATGTTCAAACGAAAGAAAGGTTGGGACTGTAACATACTTTCTGGGGAATACGTATTCATTTTCTTAAGCATTTACACAGGGATATTAAGAACAGTAAAACCTGGAGAACGATTGTGGGACTGTTAATTGCACACAAGCTTGGGGTTTGATTTCTGCATACTCTGAAATTGCATGGCCTGAAATCAGAGCAGGCCTGATTCTGGGATTAAAAGGACCAAAATCAGGTCTAGAGCAGCATTTGTGCCACTGCAACCCCCGTGACTGGCAGCTGTGGCATTGTGGGTTAATGATTACCATGCAATGAAATCCCTGGCACAAGTTAAACCATGTTCCCTCCCCCACTGAGTCTTGCTTTCTATTTTTCTCAACCTGCAACACTGAAGGCGGGAGTGAACGGGTAAGAAGAAAAGCAGAAACAGAGAAGAGGTAAAGTTTAAGCAAATACAGATCTTGGCCAAGACATTTTTCAAACCTCACAGTCTAGTTAGGACACTAGCCACCTTCCCTTGGAGAAGAGGCAGAGCCATTGCAGCAGGGTGCAAAGGGACTGTGTTATTGTGTCACCAGTGACTCACAGACCTTTCCCTGGGGTTGTTTTGTAGCAGTCAAGGAGACTGTCCCACCCTCTGTTACAATGACCTGATTCACTAAGAAACAGCATTCATTCCAGCACCATGGTGACTGCACTTCCCTAAGGCAGTTCAGAGCTGTGATCTCATTCACTGGCATTGGCTCTGGCATTAGCTCACGTAGCTCTTCAGAAGGAACCGGCGCCCCTACGACACACACACAGCCCTAAACAAAAAGGTTCCCCTGGACTGCTTAGGACTGTGCTTAAACATGCTAAAATTATTACGTACAGGGCTAGCTTTCCCAGATGCTCTTTGAAAAATCAATGGACTTTGTCAGCACAAAGGACTGATCTAATTAGGTGCTTAGATGTGCAAAATTGTGATGTACTGCACTTTCATATTATAGTTATCATCCCTGTATACGTGGGCCCTGATGTAGCAAAAATTGTGTGCTGGTATTGGGACAGCGTAGTGGATAGAGCCCAGGCTGGAGAGCCAGGCTGTAATCTTGGCTGACACTGACCTGCTGCCTGACTTCACCTCTCTGAATTCAGTAAAATGGAAATTATGCACAGCTCTCCCTTGTAAAATGTTTTGTGATGTGATGCAAAGTGCTATATAGCAGCTAGATACCACCTACTGCGCAGGTCAAGACAAGCGTGTTGCCAAAATATATATTTTTAAATTACTTTTTAAAAGGGCTCTTTAACCAAAACCTAAGCTCTGGTAAGCTTCAGAACAGATTTTAATGAAAACACTCATTTTTTCAGTCCCTGTTTTGGTAGAAATTAGCACAGAAAACTTCACACAAACTACAAATGGGGTCAGTTTCAAATACTGCAAAATGAAAATAGCTTTGGCATGTCGAAGGGTTTTTGGTTAATTTTTTCTTCATTTTTGACCTTGTGAGAGTTAAGCAAGCCTAACTCTGTGACTGGTCCTCGGCACACAATGATGAATCTTATCTTTTAGTGATGCCAAATTTATGCTCCTTTTAGAGTGACAGGTAACTGAGTGATGCAAAAAGGAAAAGAACGAAAAATTACATTGAATTTATGATTGGTTGTGGATCATTTACTTAGGCATAGATAGCAATTATACTGATGATGCACGGGCTAGAATAGAAGATGTAGTTATTCATTATTTGAAAGCATTTGCAAGCTTCTTTTGTAGCTAATTCTACAAATTGGGTCATAAATATTCACATTTACTTCATTTCAGTGTTACAACACTTCCAATGAGGGAACAGAAACACCCTCACCTGATTTATGTAGCTAATCTGCATGATGCGCACATACCTACTTGAATATTTGATTATGGTATGTGCAGTTTGTTCCTTGCTAGTCTTGTCAGTTGTGATTGTGATTCATAGCAGGGATTGTTGCCTAGACCCTCTGTGTGCAGCACCCACTATGTGGCCCAAATCCCAGCTGGAGTCCTTAGGCACTACTCCCATATAAACAATACTGCTGGCTGCTGTAATGTGGGGGCAATAACTCAGGAGAATCCCAAGAGAGTGGCAGGTACCCAGGCTCTTCCTGAAGGGATATTATTTATAAGCAAAAATCAAAATAGATCACTGGATGAAAGAAAGACAGTAATCTAGAGCAATCACCAGAAATCCCATAGCCCCTGGGTATGAAACCTGAGTTTCCTGAGACACCCACTGTCAACCTCCCAGTATACAGCCCTTCCCCATCCATGGTCACCTGGGATGATGGAAGTGGACCCTAAAATTAAGTTAGGGCCATATCTACAAAACACTGGGCACATCTACACAAGACACTTAATGCCCATTTGACTAATTCCGCTGCACATTAGTGCAGCTGGCAAAAACCATGCTAATGCACAGTAGATTAGTCCAATGGGCATTAAGTGTCACACAAAAAGCATTCATTTGCGCTAATGCGCAGTAGTGCTGATTATGCCACATTTAGTACCTACTATTACAGGTACTAAACTTAACGCGCCATAATTACAGTGCATTAATGAATGTGTAGATGCACCCAGTGAGCATTAGGGCTGTGCGAAGCTTTGGATGGTGACTAGATTCACAGGAGATTCGGTTCAATTTGGTGGCCATATCTCTAAATCTGAATTGAATCAGGGGACCAATTTAAAGGTCCGAATCGATTCAAAGGTCTCCGAATCTTCGGAAAAGATTCGGAGAGCTTTGATGGTTCAGGCAGTCCCCGGTCGCTGCAGCAGGGAGCTGCAGCTGACTCCGAGCTGGTTGGGCGGGGGTGATCCCCGCTGCCCCCTACTGCCCCACGCTGCATGGGGGGCTCTGCATGACCCCCCCGACCCCTCCCCCCATCCCAGCCCCCGCACAGGTGCCCTGCCTAGGCCAGCTCCGACCCTTTAAGAAAAAAAGTGCTGAGAAAAGCTCCATGGCTCCTGCAGTGGCCTTGGGGGCTCATGCAAAACCCCCCATGTGGCATGGGGCAGTGGGGGGCAGCAGGGATTGCCCCCTGCAGGCAAGAGCAGTGAGTCCAGGGTTTTCTTGTTTGTTTTTTTCTTAAAGAGCCGGAGCTGGCCTGGGAGTACCACCTGTTGAGTCGGGGCTTTTTTTTTTAACAAGAGCCAGGAGCTTGGGGCAGTGGGACAGCCATTGCCAGGCTGGGGGAGCAGGAGGGAGATGGGCCTGGCTGGTTCAGAGATTTGGCAGCAGCCGAATCTCTCAATCAGATTCGGTTGAATCGAATTGGGACAGTGATTCGAATCACCGAATCGAATCACCGTCCCCCAATTCAACCGAAACCAAATCCAAAGCAAATATTAGCCACTTCACATTGGCCTACTGAGCATTACAGCACACCTGCCATGTAGGGAATCCAGAGTCCCAAATTAGGTGGCCGGTCTATGGAGCCTCTGAGTGGGTGCCACAGAAGGTGTCGCGCTGGCTGGGAGCGCTCTCAGCAAACCTGCTGCAAATGCAGAGAGGGCTGTGGATTATATCTTGCCCCTGTCTGTGAGAGAGCCAAGAGGAGGGAAAAATAGGTGCCTTTCACATGCCAGAGCCCCAGCAAGGCCTGAGAAGGAAGTGGCAATAGACTCCTTTAATCTAGCAACCCAATGTTACAGCACTTGTGTATGACAGGACAATTCCCTCCTTTACCTGAAGATATTTGAGTCTGTATCTCCCATAAGTATGCTGTAACCTTGGGCTAATAAGGTACTTTTGGGGAAGAGGGTTTTCTTCTCCTGTCCCTATTCTCAAGCTGTTTCATTTTTGCTAGGAATACTTATATTGCAGTTGGAAGAGACATCAGGACCCAGATCTTCTCCCACACAGTGAAGTGCCCTGAGCACTAGGCTACAGAATCATGCTTCCTTTCTTGCCATCTTAACAGGAGGGATAGAAAGCGCTAGCCCACAATGCCCTAGCGGGTTAGGCATTCACATGCACATGTATGGTCACATCCTCTTAGGCAAAAGACAGCATTGACTTTGGATGTGTGAGACTTAGGTTGAGTGCTTTGCCACTGGGTTGTTAGGAAAAAGGTATATCTCCTCCACCTCATGCAGAACCTTTTCTATTAGGTCTTCACTGTGAAGGCCCACCTGAACAGGGCCCACATGCAAAGCCGGTGAAGAAACTCTTAGTTTATGAACCCTGACAAAGTTAGATACTAAATTGGTCAGCACAGTGAAAACCTAGATAGTTATGGTTGTCCCCACGGTCACACCTTTAAGCCCATGGGGAACTTCACTGGTACAAGTCAAATGCCTTTTGGATTTAAGGCGGCAGGTGAGCATGATTTTTGAGGATCCATTTTTGGACATAAATACCACAGGCCTTTTGCAGATTTGCCCCTAGCCCTTTTGTTCATAGAACACTGAAGGCCTACTTAATGTCTAATCATGAGTTAAAGTCACATGACATTGTTCCTGTTCCCTGATTGGGTGTTTTATTTAATTAACCATCATAATCATGATTTGTTTCAATTCAATAATCAAGTCAAATGACTCTGGATAGTCATAAGGACTCTGGCCTGAACGTCTTCTCTGATTTGTCACGTAGCACAGGTCCAAGAACCTTGTCCACTGAGCCCATAACTTCTACTTGAACTAGCTCAAGGAATACGCCCAGTCCTGCAGAGGTATCCTCGCTGTAGAGATGAGGAGTGGAGACCTGAGTTATTTGCCCAACTTGTGCAGCAAAGCAAAGCTGAACCAAGGTCTCCTATCTTCCTGGGTAACCCCTTAACCACTAAACCAACACTCTTCTCTGAATCACTGAGAGATGTACACAAGCATGGGAGCCAGCAGCCTGCCTTTGGGATGAAATTCTGTACCTTGCAGAGAAACTATGGGTTTGTCTATGGCAGGCATGCTTCTTGGGGGCAGTGTAAGCCTGCGTAAACCAGTCCTCAGTAGCCTGAACACCAGTTTAGTTCCCACTCACCACCCAGCCTTGCACTAGCCCACTGTTAGGGGCCAAATGCTATCAGTTATCATTTGTACTTGAAAAGACTAAAGGGAGCAAACAAACAGGAAGTGTCAAATGATGTCGATGGATAATTGTCCTGCAGCTTATTAAGGTCTTGCATTAGGCAGACTCCTGCCGTGGGGCAGAATTACTGTTATCTGTATTGAGGGAGCATTAGAAACATCAGCCAAGATCAGCATGTCACTGTGCTAGAAATGGCACAGACACGAGAGAGTCAATCAGAGATGCTCTTCAGTCGCTGTGCTGAGGTCTCAGAGGGAGCATGCAGGGTCGGCAGTTAGAAAGGTTGTCTTCATGCAAGAGGAGTGGATTAGATCCACGTTGGCTAAAACACACCAACATGGCAAGCCATGACGGCCTTTTCAGAGTCACCTTCCTGAGCAGAACTGCTCTATTCAGATACATGGCACAGCTCACTTCTCCAGGCAGGACTGAAGTGGAGGCTCTTGTCACCCCTTTGAAGCCCCTGACAGCAGGCTGAGTGCCAGTGCTGGCACTGCCCTGCCCTGCCCTGTCCTGCTTGGAGCACCCCTTTCTGTTCTAGTTTTGCCTTCCCTGACTGACAACCTCCCTTCCCCCAAAGCCCACTCTTGCCTTACGCTCCACTGGGGGGCAGAAAGGGTTAACCATTAAACCAAGGCACCTACCTGGAAAGCGCAGACCAGTTTTTTCTGTTGAAAGACATCCCAGACTTCCCTGGCTTTCAAAAAGAGCAGAAAGAGTCCCCAGTTGTCAGGTTCATGCACCACGATACAGATTGCCCTGGGGACTCGGACTTGACGTGCCCAAAGGACCGGGAAGAGAGTCTGTGCCTCCCCTGCCGCGTTATTTCCCTGTGCACCTTTACCCTGCAGCCCATTTACTGCCAGGCTGTATCACATGGTCTCTTATCTACCTTGACAGACTCTGAGCTGTAATTTGTCTACTAGCAGCACCTTGCAAAAGGCACCCTACCACGGGTGTGACCCAGCTTCGGCACAAAGCAAATCATTCCTTCCTTGCCGGTGTTGTCCGGGTTTGAATTCAGCCCCTGTTCATTGCGTACTTGTCCAGGTCTCCCTGCTTTTCAGGGACAACTCCCTTCTCAGAACCTGTTTTACCAGCCTCTCGCTGTCTGTCAGCTCCCCCACAACTGACTGGGCAGGAAGGGTGGAATTTCCTCCAGGTGGGAGGGAGGAGGCTATCAGTCACTCGTCATTCAGCTGCCATTTAATCATAGCAGGCATTAAAGCAGGGGCCTTCCCTTCCATCAAGGTGAAATAATCTAGTCCCTTTGGAAAGCAGAGTTCACAATCGTTCGAGGTGGGGGGTCACACAAGTCATCCCAGCCCCTGGTGCACACTTGTACTTTCACAGTTGCATCTTCCTACTGTTGATGAGTTTCACTCCCTTATTAGTATATTTAAAAATCCACAAAACCATTAGACTAAATGGCCGTTTGTAAACAACGCTTGAAAGAAGGTTTAAAGCAAGTGAAATGCCTTTTGCACCACTTTAATGGCACTGCTGTTTGCACATTTGGCAGCATACTGTGCATTAATTCCAGCCACTGTAGCACATTTGGAGGTATAATGCACCTTAAATGACTTTGGGATGAAGCAAAGGACTTTTGTAGATTCATAGATGTTAGGGTCAGAAGGGACCTCAGCAGATCATCAATTCTGACCCCCTGCCCTGGGCAGGAAAGAGCGCCGGGGTCAGATGACCTCAGCCAGGTGCATGTCTAACCTCCTCTTAAAGACCCCCAGGCTGGGGGAGAGCACCACCTCCCTTGGAAACCCATTCCAGATTCTGGCCACCCTCACTTTAGGGCCCTACAAAATAAAACACCTCCAAGGAGTTTTAGTTTCCTACCCTACAGCCATGGAGGGAACCACTGGGCTCCATGCGGCTCAGGGGCTGTGCAGGCAGACCATGCAGGCAACCTGGCAGCAGCCCGGGAAGGCAGGCTCTGCAGAAGGAAAAGAAAAAAACAACAACTGGCGAGCCTGATCTTTTCCCACCCCCTGCCGGAGCCTGCCTGCCTGAGCTGTGCGGGGGCCCGGTGTTTCCCTCCATGGCTGCGGTGCCCCTGAGGACTGCCCAAGTTGGGTGCCGCCTGGGAGGGGGCACTACTGCCACGGAGGGAAGGACCAGCCCCTGCCCCACAGCTCAGGGACTGCTCTGCCCGCCAGCAGCTCGCTCTCCCCTCCGCGCTGCTGGAGATGCAGGTAAGGATCAGGCTCCGACACGGGTGTTTACTTTGCCCTAAATTGAAGCAGTGTTTTAAAAAAAATTTAGGAAGAATTAAACCCCTGTGTCGTGTACAAATGCCCACTACCTACAGGAGACAGCCACTAAAGGGTCTGGCAACTCAGCTCTGAGCATTGCATGGCCAAGCAAGAAGCCAAATACAGTCAGAATAAGCACCGTGAAATGACCCCAAGAAAAGCTCAGCAAGCGTGTTTGGGATTAAACGCTGACTTAAAAAAGAGGCTTGGAACCATAAGCAAAGATGGAGTCTTTCACTGTCCGATTCCCTTTGTTTTCAGGGAAATGTGACTGGACACTCATTGTAAATGAACAAGATTTTTTCCTAGCAGTGTTTGACCCTATCGCCAATTTGTCTTCCTCACTGAAACAACCTGCAACACCCTGAGGGTGTTTAACTGCTCACCTCAAAAAGGGGTAACAGTACTTTTCTCTCAATCAGGTTTGAAGTGCCGTAAGAACAAAACTTTCTTGTGGTTAGAGCAGGATGCCTGACGGGCCAGGGCTGGCACTAGGACATGTAGGAACAGCTGCAAAAATGCAAAATGATGGAAATAAAACCCAATCTGCTTTTGATGACCTTCATAAAAACTGAGGGCAGGGGGGGAGGATGTAGTTTCAATCATTTTTTTTTTATCCCAGTGAATTTGTCCCTGCCTGTGACAAGAGAATACGGCATGCACCAGGAAAGGAAGGGAGTCTAGCAGAAGCCATTGGCAACTTGTGCGTTTTTCTTTCAGAGCTCTCATGTAACACGACAGGGAAAACAGCAGGCAAAGAGCACAGATGAGCGTGTGGTTATTGGACTGCACTCTGACTCGTGGGATCCAATTTCAATTCTCAGTCTGTCTCAGATTGTGTGTGATCTTATGCTGAGGTTTTCTGTAACTCCTAAGTCAATTAGACATGAAACTGTTTTAGAAATGCAATAAGAATCAGGTGCCTAATTCCCACAGGCTCCTTCAAAAATACCAGGCTAAATCTCCATGTGCAAGGAAGAGAAATAGCCCTTCTCTACCTCTCAGGAAAGCTGCGGACATAAATTCATGCATGCTTGTAAGGTGCTCATCTCTTGTTGTAAGCGGGTAGGTAGGCATTAGCATTTGTGCTGTGGTGGCACCACATGCCCCTTGTGCTGAGCACTGCCGCCCAAGAGAGACTGCATTGCTTGGTGGGGTAGCTGCACAAACCTGAGGGGCTGGGCCCTTCCTGCTGTGCATGGTGTTACCGCCTCCTTTTCCTTCTCCATATGTAAAATTCCCTTCTCCCATAAACCTGAGCAACTGGTTGGTTTGCTTGGTTTATACCACCTGTTACTTGTGCTTCATTCACGCCCTAGCCCCTTCCAGGGTGAAAGGTAAATGATCTCGCTTTGACAGTTTAATGTGAACGGTTAACCTAGCATTCGTTTAATGAGAGATCTCCGCTTGCAATTATGTTTTAAATGATAAATCTGTCAGAGGGCCATCTCCATTAAGCAAGGCTTATTCTCCGAGGCAGATACAGGGGGGATGGACTGGTGCAGTTTAAGTTTAAAACCACCCGCCTGGCAGTGACAGCAGCATTTCTATCACAGGCCTCATATTTGATCCAGTCAGTCCAGAAACTCCTAACTTTGGTTATTTGATGCACGCACGGCCAGAGTTGTGATTTCTTTCATCCTCAGCTGCATCCATTCATTTCAGATTGAGTTGCTGCACATGACTGAGATGGACAGAATCTGCTACACAGCGTTTGTGAGACCCAAGAGAAGAGCAGAAAGTCATGCAATTCAGCCCATAGATCAGATGACTATATCACTGTAAGCTGGAGAAAGTCAGTGACTCTGCTTGGGTAAAAAAGGGCAGCACAGCTGAGCTATTCTAACCTGTTTCCCAGCATCTTCGGCTGGGTCTACACTACAGACTCTCATCAGTCAGGACTGTGCCAAAGTATCAAACCTGACTGACAGGTGTGTTGGCGGAAGCCCCTAATGCAGGTGCACTTTTATTTGTGCAATTTTATTTGCCTGTGGGGTGAATCTACCCTATTGATACAGAGCAAATGTGTGTCCACACTAGAAGCACTTTGCTGGTCTAGAATATAATATTTTGTACACCAGTAAAACACTCCCAGCAGGAGCAGATCCAGGGGGCTGGGGGTGGGGAATGGTGCAGTTCTGCCCCCCTTTGATTCCTGCCTCATCCATATTTTAAAACAGAACGCCTGGGAGAGGCAGTGGCATTTCTAATCAGGCTCTGCTGAGGGAGTCAATTGACTTCATGGCTCATGGTTATGTGATTTTCACGGAAACCTTGAAAAATGGCTATTTCTGCAAAAAAAAATTGCACTGGCCGCGATTTCCCAGAAAATCAACCAAAAAAACCCAACTTAAAAATAAAATGCTGGCTTCCCAGTGCAAGCCAGCAGTTCTCACTGCTGCTGTGGTCCAACCTTGCAGCCTGCCCTGGAGGGGAAGGCACCAGCTGGCGGGGCGACACAAAGGGCAGCAGCCAAGATGGCAGCTGTGCCCTCGTGTTTCTCTGTCAATCAGCACCAAGGGGCATGGCTGCAAGAAGTGCAGCCAGCAGTCAAGAAGGCAGCCACCCACTCGTCTCTCCTCCCCTCGGGGCCTCTCCGCCAATCAGCACCGGGGATGGGGGCTACCATGAAATCAGCTCTTCGGGCCACAGCCAAGCCACAGAAATTGCTTTTGCTTTTGCCATGGGTTAAGTGGGTCCCTCCTCCTCCTCATCTACCTGATCCCTGCCAATAGGGCTGCGTGAAGCTTCGAGTGCTGATTTGATTCGGAGGAGATTTGGCATGATTCAGTGGCTGAATCTCCAAATCCGAATGGAATCAGGGGACCAATTTAAAGGTCCGAATTGATTCAAAGCTCTCCAAATCTTCAGAAAAGATTCGGCGAGCTTTGATGATTTGGACAGTCCTCAGTGGCTGCAGCAGGGAGCTGCAGTCACTCCAAGCTGGTAAGTACTAGGGGGGAGGAAGGGGGGCTGAGGGAGGGGGGGGGGGGGGCCAGGGG